ATGATTATCACAAAATGTATGCATAAAAGAATGTACTTGTGATGCCCCTAAAATCGGGGGTCCTTTTTCAACCTTTGACCACCCGTCAATCCGCGAAAATATCCATGATCGTTGCATAATCCGACGTCATGTCAATAACATCCCCCTTGACCAAGATTATAACCTACACGTGTGACCCGTGTACATTTTATCATTTAATCAAATTATGGTTCAACGTACCACATTCCATACTCCATTATAGTCTATTTATATCCTTGGAACCAAAGATCTCATAGGATATAAATGGACTATGATGGAGTATGGAATGTCGTACCGGTACGAGTAACCCACTGGACCTCGTTGTACTGGTACTCAGTACGGGTACCTTTTGCCCACTTTTGCCTATTTCACCTGCTTTTCATTCCCAACTCATTCCTAAGCATGTTATTTCCATCCAACTCATGTATAATGAAGTTTTTCATGTAATACAAGGTCGATACAAGTTTTATTACATTTAATTCAATGTATTTACATACAAAATAGAAATTTCACAATTGTTTTACAAAACTCAAAGTAAAGCCACATTCTGACTTCTTCACCCTTGGGGTCCCGTGTGAGGGCCTTCCATCGATGTATATCCCGCACCTGAAATATTGTTTCCGTATAGGGTGAGTCATGTCCAGTAGAGTATTTCCTACCAAGGCTATTCCCCAACCTAAGTGCATATGAATGTTCATGCAATACTTTACAATCAACAACATCCCAAACAAAAATATATTATTCAATGTTAGAATCTTTGCAATATCATACCATGAAATGAGATGAGACTCACTCATGCAACTCAATCCGAGACCTCCCTGGCTCTTTTTTTCCCATGCAATGCCATGGGTATAAAACTGACTTTCCAAGCCCCGCCATTGGCGCTACACAGCCAATGACTATGTAAAAATCTCTGGGTCTTTCTTGGGGTGGGTATTTATGGACTTACACCAACGGCACCCAACCGACACGGAATTTATGGACTTCCGCTAACGATTCTGTATACACCGACACACTTTATGGGCTCTTATAGCAACAAAGTGCGTCTCCGATCACTGGGTCTCTTATTCTTGGAATAGTCTAGCCCTTCTTGCTAACTTTGACCTAATTCTTTATTCATACCCCTGTGTGACTCAGTCGAATTTTTGATCCAACTTTTCGAGCCCACCATCATTCACTTATTTGGTGTTGGTATCAACTATGCACACACACGCTCACATTCACACTCATGGCTATGGATGCGGTTTCTCCGTGTAAATACAATGTAATACACCATTGCTTAATCAATGTCATGTCTATATGTAATGAATGTCACATGAGCAAGTTTAACCTCACATATATACATGTTCCATGACTAATTATATCATATGTATATAATCACCAAATTTTATCACAATACTAATATATCAATGAACATATATCAACATTTTATTTTCCACAACATATCCTAAACATGTTATTACATAATAGGTGTCAATAACATATTTCATTCACAAAGGTATAACATAAACACATAACATGCCCACATAATACCAATTTTCATGGAATCGAACAAGTAATTTCCATATATTCATTCCAAGCTAGGAATTTGGTTCAAGTCATTTCTATACCCATTTTCAATACCTATTTCCTTAATTTCACAACATAGGCAAGTGATACATAACTCTATCAACTTACCCATCTCATGTAACACTCTAGGTTAGGAATTAAACCAAAGTAGGAAGGAACCCTACCTCTTGAAATGTGAAATCACATTGGGAAGTTCCAAGAATTTCTCCCGAGCTCTAACCCAAGCTTCCAAACATTTTATTTTTCAAATCTTCGGTGAACGTCCTTGTTTTTGGTACGTTTGCGTAGTCCTCGACGAGGAGACCGACTATTGTTCTTGGCCCGTGTTGATTCGACCAAAGTTTGGCCCNGCGTAGTCCTCGACGAGGAGACCGACTATTGTTCTTGGCCCGTGTTGATTCGACCAAAGTTTGGCCCATGATCGCAAGAGAAAAGCTTGAAAAAACTCTATTTTCTCTCTCTCTTTTCTATCAGGTAACGACTGATCAAGAATGGGGGAGAAACCAGATTTTTTTCCTCATTTATACCCTCTAATTGCTTGGCCTACAACGGGCCACATGGTCCTCTTTTCTCGGGTCCGTTTTTGCCCCGAAACGATTAAATTTTTTTCTGGTTGTCCAAAATATTTTTATTTTAACTTACCTTAAATTATTTTTCAACTTTCAAAATTTTATTAAAAATTCCGTTTTTGAGTCACCTGAGACTCGATCGCCTCGTAAAACGTAAAAAANTTCTGGTTGTCCAAAATATTTTTATTTTAACTTACCTTAAATTATTTTTCAACTTTCAAAATTTTATTAAAAATTCCGTTTTTGAGTCACCTGAGACTCGATCGCCTCGTAAAACGTAAAAAATCCGACTATCTCGATATTCGACAAAAATTGACGGGGTAACTAGATTTTGCAAGACAAATTCAACGGTGAAGTCCGTTTTGTCATTCAAGATCTAGAAAAATTCAGGTTTACAACTCGTACCGTAGTGACATATTTACCATTTTGCAATTTTTTCATAAAAATTTTAAATTTACCCGAGTTTTACAGTACTGAAGGGCATTATCAGAATAAAGTATCTTAATTCATTTATCAAACTATACAAGATTTCATTATTGTTCTCAACGTAACAATTATAAAAGGTAAGAAATATTTTTAGGTAATTTAGAACGATCCTTAAGAAATAACCAAGTCATATGAGAATAATTATCAATAAAGATCACAAAATAATGAAATCTAGAAATACTTTTTATTCTTGAAGGACCCTAAATGTCAAAGTGCACAATATCAAAAGGACTAGATTGATGACTCATATTACTAGTAGGAAAAGAACTATGGTGACGCTTGCCCAATTGACAAGACTCACATTCTAACATAACAGAAAGATTCAAACTAGAAATGACTTGACAAATCTTTTGTAGTGAAGTATGACCTAATCGAAAAAGCCACTGAATGGGAGATATGGTAACACTCAAGGCAGGAGTTGTTACTCTAGGATCCAAATAGTATAGTCTATTATGCTCTTACCTCAAATCATCACCTTCTTCGTCCAGAGGTTCTGAAAAACACAAGAATATGGAGAAAAAGTCACTAAATATTGTAAAGACTTGGTTAATTGACTCACAGATAACATATTAAAAGAAAATTGTGATATAAATAAACCAGATGTTAATGACATGGATTCAATAAAATAGAGATCACCATCCCATTTACTGGGTCTAAAGGAACCATTAGTTAACATAATACGAAAGTTAGAAGAAGAAAAATTAGAAACCAATGAGGAAATACTAGATATGTGGGCATTAGTTCCCGAATCAATAATCCAATATAATGAGATGGATTGTGCATGTGCAAAATTACCTGCAATGACTAAACTGGTAGCTGAAGTAGGCGAATGGGAAGAGAGTGAAGACAACTGTTGGATGAGTTGATTGAGTTGTGTGGTAAGAGCATTATAAGAGCCATATGTAGATATAGTAGGTCCACTAGTTGATGGCTAAGATAAAGGAGGAGTTGGATTGGAAACCTGACTAGTATATGTTGGTCTTCCATGTTTATCTCAACAATAATCCTCAGTATGTCTAATAGCTCGATTAGCACGACCTCCACGACCAGTACCTGTAACACCATCATAACCAGCTGAGGCTGGATGACAATCACCACCATGACCACCACTATGATCACCTTCATGATCACTATGACTACCCATCACTAGAGAGTAAAGCAAAGGACTACTGTGACGGTGGGGGGTTCCCACGGGTTAGAGAGGCTCTCTGAAGATGGGAATAAACATTGGTAGAAGTGGGAAGTTTTTGCACTAGTTAAAATATGGTATTTGAACACACCATATTCAGAATTAAGATTGGGCAAGACTAGATCAACTTGAAACTCTTCTCATTATCGTCGCTATACTGCTAGATCTGCACTCAATGACTAATAAACATACGTTTCTTCCATAACCCTTTCAAAGTACCATAATGCTCCACTAGAGACTCTCTCCTTTGTTTGGTACTAAACACATGTTCAAAAAGTTCATATATTCGGAACACATTATATTCTTGTGAATACATCTCCTCAAGAGAGTTCCAAATTTTCTTAGCTGTATCAAGAAGTTGAACATTCGAAGTTATACCAGGCTCCATACTATGCCATAACTAGGTCATCACCAAGTAATTCTCACTCTATCAGTCTTCAGAATCTTTTGAAGTCTTGGGAGGAATACTTTCAGGCAAATACTTGACTTTCCATTTAGCATGCAAAAAAAATTTGATGGCATGAGACCAAGAACAATAGTTGGTTCCATATAACTTCATAGATGTAATCTAACCTAATCTGATAATCCATGGAATAGACTTGTCAAACCGGATAAAAGAGAACAAGAGAACCAACAAAATTCCCAAACAACTAAAATCAAAGAAACAACCAAGAATTGAGCCAAAAAAATTGTCCGATAGAATCAAATCACAATTGGACCAAGTCACAAACCACCGAGGGAATATAGAACGCGCAGGCAGCCTTAGAAACATCTAGAGGCTAGAAAATAGGAGGAAAACCAGGAGGTGTGAACAATTTTGTCACTGTTCAGCCTTAGAAACAGTAGCCGAAGTCCCTGGGAGCACCGAATCTCATCCAAATCAGCCTAAGAGGGCTGGGCAACTCAGAATGATGCTCAATGGTTCAAGTTGAGACCTACAGCCAAGCCTCATAGTGAAGCTTCACCACGTCTAGAGGCAAGAACCAGACTGCTGACACCCTCTACAGCACAAAACAGCCACAAAAACAACTCAACAAGGCATGTGTTGATCACCACTAACCCCCTATGCCCTAGTTGTGAAACCGCTCCAATGGGTCCAGAGAACTAGATCGCAAAAAGCCGCAGATTTATTGAATAAGCATTCTATTCCTTTATTGTTAAGAGTTCCAATGAAAACTACATATGAATGGTTTGAAAATGTAGCATGTCGTGAATGTATTCTAACATGTACTGAAATATGTCCCGAATATTTTCTAATGTGCCAAAATTTTTAAAAAATTAAGTGCATTAGCATGAATGCGATCGATATTTCCTTATGTTATCATTATGCTAATTGGATTTATTTCACTTATCTAATGCTTTAGGCCCTCATAAAATCCAAGGAATTGGTGCTGGTTTCATCCCTGGTGTATTGGATGTCAGTCTTCTTGAAGAAGTTGTTCAGGTAATCCTTCCACTTTTGATGATTCATCCTTCTTAGTTTCTGTTAACATGTAAATATATTTATATACATATGCATTAGTGCTGCTAATGCATACATTTTAACAAAAGAGAACTTAATTTAGAAATTGTAGAATGTACTCGGTGATCTTTTAATAATTAGAAAAATTAATAGGAGGTGCTTTTTGCACTCCACATCAATATTCAGAGTATTGTCAAAGTCACGATACGACTCGGTCCAGTTGTATCCGACTAGGCAACTCCTGTTCCGATAATGATGGACATTCCACAAAAATTATGAGTCTTACACAACTTGGCCTTGATTTGGCCTGACTTAGATATTGTTAAATTATAATGTAATTAGAGTTAGGGAAGGGAAGAGAAATTTAGGAAGAGGTGAGAAGAGATTAGGAGAAGAGAGTAGTATATTAGGGTTATACAGTTACATCCCAATATATATTACCAGAGATTATCAAAATACCATTAAGCTAGGAATACATAAAGTAACACTCGCCCTCAAGTTGGTGCATTGATATCTCTCATGCCTAGCTTGCAAACGATAAGATGAGAAAGCTTGCTAGTAAGTCCCTTTGTGAAAATATTTTTCATCTGATCTTCTGATTTTGCAAAGGGCATGCAAATCAAACCCTTATTCTGTTTCTCTTTGATGAAGTGTTGATCAATTTCAACATGTTTAGTTCTATCATGTTGAATTGAATTGTGTGCAATATTGATAGCCACCTTATTATCACAGTATAGTCTCATAGGCTTGTCATTACGGATTCCAAGCTCACCTAGTAAAATTTGAAGCTACATCAGCTCACAAACTCCATGGGCCATTGCACTGTATTTAGCCTCTGTACTCGACCTTACTACCGCTGCTTACTTTTTACTTTACCACATGACAATATTCCTTTCTATCAAGGTACAATACTCCTTTTGAACAATAAATCTAAGTGGTTGCTCCATGTGAAGTTTAAGACATTCCTTTGGTTTTATAGAGAAGCAATTAATGACCACACTGGAACAAGTATGGCAAACGAGAACATGACAACATAGAGGAAAATAACACAGTGACGACATAAGACAAGTGCAACACTAGTAGCACCACCAACAATATCGGCACAAACAAACACAACTACACCACCACAATGAACCATAGGCAATAACAAATTAAACTGCAATAGTAATAAACATGGTACATCAAGCCAAAAAAAGGTTGAACCGATGTTGAACTATAGACAACAACAAATTAAACCGCAATGATAATAATTAGGGTAAACATAGCCAAAAGGTGTTGAAACCACAAAACCAATACTGAACCAGGATGATGACTCCAAAATTGGCACTAAACAAGCCTAAAAACACTAAACAAAATGGGGCCAAACACCATTGAATTGGGATAAAAATCACTAAATCAACACCAAACTTATCTAAAAACTATTGAACCGACACTAAATCGGGTTGAAAACACTGAATTAGAATTGATCTAGGATAAAAACCACTAAACTAATATCAAACTGGACCAAAAACCATTGAAGTGAAAACAAACTGGATTGAAACTCTAAAACTTTGCATCGTTGATCAGACACTGGAGACACGCACATGAATTCAAGAAACTCGCAATTACTGATAATGATTACAACAACCGATGAGCAATTGATGAAGATATCAACGACAAGAAAATTGTAAATTACAGTGATTTCGGTGACGACAACAATTGGCGAACATGTAGCCAACTACAACTTAATGTGTGCTGGGCTGGCCTAACCACTAAGTGAACGATGCTCTTGCCTAAGGCCAGGTCCCACTCGTCCAAGTGTCTTGCCCTTATACTATGTTTAAACTTAAATAATTGAATATTAGGGTTTAGGAAAAAGAAAGAAAAGGAGAAGATGAAAGAAAGGGTGATGTTATGGAACGAGATTGTGAGTAGGATTATGTGTTGCCAACACCCCATCACCTATTATAAATAGATTGATATTGAAGACAATACCAACATTAGGAAAGTAGAACATAATAGGAAAACTACATAATCAAACAGTAGAACAATAGCAAAGTGACATAATACAAAAATTAACATTCTAACAATCCGATATACGGAATACAAACCCGATACATGGAGATACGTACCAAATACACTCAATGTATCCTATAATAGCTAATATATATATTTTAATTTTGGATACTTCTCGGATATTCAGGGATACAAGTCAAATTCGTTGGAGTAAGGGCTACAATAGATAATAGGTATACATTTGGATTGAAAAATTCAAAACGCAGTCAAGAAAATTAAAGCAACCATTCTCTAAGTTGAAGCACAGAAGAACACAAATTTACCTCAATACAACACAAATCAACGCTCATCTTGCATTGAAAATTGAACCTTGGCTGCATAAGCATAATATATTACACAATCGGTACTCACAAATTGTCCTGCATTGGATCCTCTGTTACCTTTGCTATTGCCGCCTGTTCTTCTTCACCGCCATTAACTATTTTAATCTTCCGCTGAGGCTGAATATTGAGCAATGTCTTCATCTTGTGGTGAGATCACCTGGCTTAGAGGTATTTTGCAGGAGCAAGGTGTGCCTATTCAAAATCCAACACCTTTGTATGTTGATAATGTCAGTGCCATACGTATTGCATCTAATCTTGTATTCCATGAGCGTACGAAACACATTGAAGTAGACTACCACTTTATTTGTAAAAAATATCTGGATGGTGAGATCACTCTGCCTTATATTGCCTCTCAGCACCAACTTGCCGACATCTTCACCAAGGCAATGACTCGGGCTCGACATGAATATCTAGTTGACAAACTGATGCTAATTACTCAGCCTTAGTTTGAGGGAGAGTGTAGACACTAGAGATATAGTTATTGTATTATATTGTTATTTATTGTGTTATGAGTGGTTTTTATGTAATTGTACAGTTCTTTTACGCTAGTATAAATACAATAGATTTCTGGGTGGCTGCTGAGGTGTATACACCCGTTACTTTCACCTCTTTGTTTTCTCCTCCTCTTGGCTGTATGTTCTGCCCAGATTTTACAATTGTATCCTTGGGAAGAAGTTCTTGCGTCTTAGAACTGTTATTGAGTGATGATGGTTGTATGGTATTGCAGATTTCTAGTGAGGAAGCAATTGAAACTGCTAAGCGTATTGCATGGAAAGAAGGTCTGATGGTAATTACATAATCATTGATCTGTTTTAGGGATTAGGTCTCATGGGACTTAAAATTGTTTTGTTCCCTTTTAAACCACCAAATTTGCATGTTCATGATGGTATTTTAATTTTTTCGGTTACACACCTACTGGTTTGCAATTTTGATGTAATTGGGGAAATGTGTTGCAGGTAGGAATATCATCTGGAGCTGCTGCTGCAGCAGCAATTAAGATAGCGAAGAGGCCAGAAAATGACAGAAAGCTCATTGTTGTATGTTTGATTGTCTGTTATTGTTTGTGGAGACTTTTTCTCAGCATTACACTGCTATTTAGTTAATGTGTGTTGCTTACAAGATTTTTAGCTCTTGCTGTAGTATGGCTGTATAGTAAAATATATTCTTTGACAAATCTTTCCTGTTTCTACTTCAACAGGTGATCTTCCCCAGCTTTGGAGAGCGTTACCTGTCTACTGTCCTGTTTGACTCCTTGAAGAAAGAGGCAGAGAATATGCTTTTTGAGGCATGAGATCATGCTTTTGGTTCCGAAATGTTAGGCTGAGTTCATGTTCCCCAATATGTCTGCCCTGCTGATTGATTCTGAAATGTTAGGATGGGAGCCTGAGATCATGTTCTTTGGGATTATCTATTTGTGTATGATTTTCAGAATAATTCTTGTGAATAATATAGATTTTTATTCATTTACCAGAAAATATAATTGTTTATTGGTGCTGATATTGTGTTATGAAAAAAACTGAATTGGACTAGACTTGTACTGGAATTCGTATTATGGATAAAATAAAGTTCTGGTTATAAATTTGTAGGAAACTGTTTTTCCTTATAGTTTCATTGTTTGTTGATATCACACCTGATGGTTTGTAACTCGTAAGTCATGAAGTCTACTCAGGAAGAAGAGAAATTCCAAGTGCCGTTCAGGCATCACTTCATTCATCTCAAAGGAGAGCTCTGTTGACTATTGTGAAGTGAACTACACTACATCAAAAAATTTAGACTTAAGATTGATTTATATACTTTAGAGATCATTCCATTGATTGTCAATTGAGTTTGAGTTGGATGTTTTACCATCTATCAGAGTTGAGTTTTTTATAATTGGTGTGCTAAATCTGTTACTCAGTTAAAATTTTCAGTCAGTGCAGCTCCATTTTGTTTTTCTAGTTGTTTCAATTCAGTTTGTTAGCCAACATACGAGCTAGGGTCGCACGTGAGGGAAGGTCTGAAGAGAGTTATCTCACATCAAAAAATTAAGTAGACCCAAGGTTACTCACTTGAAAGATTACTCTATCAATTGCAAATTGATTTTGGGTGGTTGGATGTTATAACAACTATTAAATTATTAGGACTATGGACACTACGTAGACAGAAAGGTGAAAATAGTTTCTGTATTTTCAGGTCAAAATAGGCATGATGCTATTCAGCCCTCCTTAGGCCTTCAACCCGGGGGGGGGGGGGGGGGGGGG